TTGTTACCCTGCCCTTCAGCTTAATGGAAAACAGTGGAGCCATGACCAGCTAAAACCAGTGAATTAGAACAGATAATTACTCCCAAGAATGGACCAGGTAAATACCCCTATTGTCTTTTAACAGATAAGTAAACAAAGCCTCAGGATTAACTGCTTACAGGCAAATTTTCTCAAGGAGGCTGCTTCAGCGAAACTTATGTTAACAGAAGACATCATGTAAGTTTTTGTTCAGTGTTCTTACACTGAACATTAGGAGGCACATTAGGAGTATAATTCAAAACAGCGTTTAGATATAGTTTAGAACTAGAAATATAATATGATTGTACACATTGGGCAAGAAAAAAATAACTGCATGGGTAGTCGTATTAGTAAAGCATGATTTGAAAGCAGTGCTGTGTGAATTATGTTTTAAGTAACACACAGAAAAACAGAAAACATTCTTTTATACACACATAGGAATATTGTTTATATCACCATCATAGGAATATTGTTTATATCACCATCATAGGAATATTGTTTATATCACCATCACTATATCATCACATTTGCTGCAGCTTTTGACAGCATATTCATATAAAGGAAACCAAAGAATATTTAATTAGGAAAGAAAAACAGCTGGGGACAACACTAATTTATGCTAAAGAAAGCTGAGCAGTCCTTCTCTTAAGGCAGATAAAATTATTGAGCAGTATTTATAGAAAAAACTGTGAGGAACACTGAGGAGGATATAATCGAACATTACCAAGACACTGACAGAATAGGCTTAAGTTATGCAAAATTATATTAAAATAATACTGTAATACTATACATTTGCTTTGACAAGATGAGGACACAAATCAGCTGCATGTATTGTTTGATTTGAACAAAGCTTCCTATTTATAAAACTGATTTACCTGCATTTGCTACAGTTAGCAATGCCTCAAAAATTGCCCTCACCAAAAGGAAGACTCCCCAGTAAGTCAGATTAATTTATGTTCTACTGTTTTGTGAAGCAGACCGGTTCCCTTCTAAAAAAAAGATGTGCCAACTCTCAAATGAAAAATAAGACAAAATAAGATAGCTTTAAAAGAAGGTGAACATGATTTATGTAACTCTGTAACTAGTATTTTCTGATTTATGAATGAAGAACTAATTTTATTGATGTCAATAAAGGTTTTCCATTTTGTCAGTAGGAGCAGAAAAAGTCCCAAAATATTGTCTATATATACTTAGAAACATATTAACTAAGGATAATATACATGCACATTAAAAACAAGCCTACTTAATTATTATTATTTTTTTTTTTTTTAAGAAAAGATCAGTTCAAAATGCATTTCTTATATAGCTTCTATTTCCCTTTGATATGGGACAGCTTATAAATGTGGTGTCCATAATATAACAAGTGAAGTAATACTTCAATTTTAAAACATAGCCTATACTTACATTATATATGCACATATACTCGTATTTATTTCAGTAAGTAGTCTGCTTTCAGGCCTATGTCTGTCTATATTAGACAAATTTTAAATAGTTTTCCAACACAGAAGAGTAGAACCTGCAAAATTTATGTTGCAAAGCAGTGATTCCTCTTTTTAGTGGGCAGCAAATAAAGAGTAAATATATTAAAAGTAAACAGGGAAGAGGACAGGGTTAAATAGAAAAGACCATTATATCACTACCAGAGCCCAACTGGTTTAACAGTATATAAAGAACCTGTTTCATCTTCAAGTCAATAAAGGTTAATACAATAAAATAAACTTCTGAATACCTTTCTTTTCTAGGACTTAATCTCTTCTGCTGAAGAAGTCTGAGAGATGTTATCAATTTTGTGCAAAGCCAGCAGCTAGGAAAATTTACTTAAACATACCAAAAGGAGAAAGTAATTTCATGAAAATACTTCAATATGGCTTCTGGGGAGCTTCTCACTGTACCTAGACCAAAACCAATTTAAAGCCAGCTGCTAGCCCATGATTTCTAGACCTGATCTCTCATGCATGTGAAGTAAAGGACAGAAGACATTTATTATATCATTTACAGAAGGACAACAACAGACCACTTAAGACACAGTACGAGTTGCTTCACTCCCAAATATTCACCTCTGAACATCTATTTCCATTAATCAGGGTACACATATACTCTGCAGTCCTTCCATTATGAAACCTTCAAAGGCTTTTTAAAGCTGGGATAGAGCAGCTGAGCAACTAGAACGAAGCAATGGATTGACATCAGCATTTATTCTAATAGCCCAAAGGCTAAGAACCGTCATTTTTTATTTTGCCATGGCTCAGTACAGTAATGCAAATCTGCATGGACATAGTCACAAAGCCATGTCCTCTGCAAAAAGAAAAGCATCTAAAAGACTTACTAACATTTGTGTATCTTAACTGGTATTGAGTAAAGCTAGTTCTGCATTTGACCTAAATGTTCAGTCTACCAGTACATTGAAGTAGTGAGAAGATATCTGATATAAAAATGTCTAAAGATAAGAAATAAAAAAGGCATTTTTTCAAATAAGATCAGGACTGCTGAATGCACTCACTTTATCTGTGGTCTCATGAGATCAAAGCACAAATTAATCTGCTCAAGCTCACTCTCAGAGCATGAACTTCTACATCATCCACACAACTGGAATGTTGTTTTTGCTTACACATGGACATAAGTGGATTAGGCCACATGGCATTATGAACCTGAGCCCTTACTCCAACTCTGTAAAATGAAGGAGACTGGTCAACAAATTACTTCTGAATACCTAAGAAAACCTTGCAGATTCTTCTTCTTCTTCAAAAAAATAAATAATAATATTCAGACCTGTTATTCTAAAAATACAAGTTTCTAGGCAGTATTTTGAAAATCAAGTTCCAACTGCTTTAATTTACTGAAGATATTTTCAAGTAAACCTGAATCTCAGATAAGTTCAGTATACACTCATCATCTCCAGTGACCATAAAATAAGAAGTTTTGAGATTTCAGAAAGAAGAATCTCTCAAAATGTAAAGACCCAGAAAGAAAACCTGAAATGGTATATGCAGGGACAGAAATAAATTATTTTTTGTTTCTTAAATGCTTTTTCTTTTAATTTCAGCAGGATTTTAAGAGCTTAAGGTCCCACCTTGACCTGGAGAGTCTCCACAATTTATATGGATTTCTTTTACTAAATGGTTTTCTTTTAGTTCCTGAAAATACCAGGAGGAAAGAAAGCAGCTATAAAAAAGAATAAAGGATCATTGTAAAATTTCCAAATCATAAAAATAACTTGGAACAATAAAATCTTTATTAAACTAAGTGCTAGTCTCAAACAATATGTAAAAATATCACAAATAAGCTCCAAGCTCTATGTCTCTAAAAGTTGAATTAGCTTTAAAATGTCCAACACTTTCAGACATTTTATCCAATCTGTTTGCAAACTTGTTGAATCCAAATGCTGACTTCATTCCAGAGTCACCTACAGGTACCACACTTCAGAGTATGGTATCACCTCCAAAAACATTTATTTGACATAGGTGGAAAACTATACATAAAGGTAACCAACCAGGTTTAAATGGGTTTGGTTTCATTTGGTGCGTGACTGTCTGACACACGTAATTTCCATTAATTACATTGTAAATCCCGTGGCACAGCAAGATTCACCCTGAAAACAGTCATCAAAAGAGAGAAGTGCTGTACTATGAGACACAAAGTGGTCAGAGGCATCGTAGTACTTACTGCTCATGAAGTACATGGGTGGGGGGGGGAATAAAAAAGAGGCAGAAAAATAGAAGCTGCTGTAGAACACACTCAAGCCCACTTCAGAAAAAGAGGGAAAACCAGCAAGACTGGGAAAAATACCTAAACATTCAAAAAGGTGCTGTTCACCAGTTCTTCCTCTCTTCTGCTGACCTCATTCAATTCCTCTCCTGTATTCAAATAGCCTCAATTGGCAGCCCCTACTGCACAAATAATGTCATAATGTCCTTAAATGTAAATTCCTTAGGTTGGGTATTTTTTGGTCCTTAGCAGCACTTGATTTAACAGCACCTCAAAGTAGCCATAACCATGATCTGTATGGTCCAGAGAGGACTCTACTGCCCTCCAATACATGGGATGTGTCTTGGTAAAGCAGGACACAACAGTAATTGAACCCTGGAGGTAATACAATGCTGATAGCACCAACACCAAATTCCAATAGATAACTATGTTATGACTTTAAATAATTTTACTGACTAGGGGAAAAAAAAATAAAGTGAGAAGAAATAATAAAATAAATAACATCACAAATTCAAAATATTCTGCTTATTTGACAGAAAAAAAAAATCAATGGAAATACGCACCAAATATGCAACTAAAGAAGAAAGTCACTGTATCGTTAAAACAATGTAACCAAACTTCTTCTAATGAAGCACAGATGTAAAGAACAATGAACTGGCACAGCCTAATTCACCCCTGTATTACTCTTTATTTCTGTTAAAATGAACATGATATTTAAAAATCAAAACAATCTTTATGTTTCCACATCTAAACCATGTTCTGTCTGTCTGGACATGTTTAAGTCATAATATTGTTATTATTAAAAAATAATAAATACATATCATGAAAAAGAGCTAGTACATGCATAAGTATTTGTTTACACTTTACTAAATGATAGGTATATTTTATGTGAAATCTAGAACTACATTTCTTATAAATCCACTGACCCTCTGCATTGTGGGAGCCCATGCAAGGCGTGAAAACATTGCTGGGGAAACTGAAAGGTTTGGTTAGGAAAGCCAGCTTTGATATAGCAGAGCAAAATCACTGAAACCTGCTTCCACCACAAGGGAAATTTTATATTTTAAAGCATTACTTACTATTGTTACTTAAGTCTTCTCAGACACTATCTGGTCACGTTCAGTATTACTGTCCTGCAGACACTGACTTCAACATGCAGGGTAAATGCAGCTAATAAGCATAATTAGCTCAGACAGTGTATTTAATTTAGTTTTGCACTAAGGACTAATTGCCTACTCAGCGAAGGGGAAGTGTAACATTTTTTTTAAGATGCTTACCCGAGGGCCCTGATCACCTTGATCTCCCTGCAAAGTGGAAAGATGAGATGATAGGTTTAACACAGCATCTGTGTGCTACCCAGCTCTCGTACATAATCTAACATTACACTGTGTCAATACAAACTGTGTCTTTAGTTCATGCTGCGACGGCTTTCCATTGACCTTGGAAGTGTCACCCGTACATCAACTCACCTTCTCGCCTTTTGGACCAGGAGGGCCCTGAAAGAAAAAGAAACAAAGATTTAAACCGATGAATTTCTGGTACAGATGAAGTCTGCAACACTGCAGAAAGAGGTCTGAGCAAACCTGGGATTTCTTCATAACAAAGTATGCCCTTATAAATTTTCATACCAAATACCAGGGATATTCCAGAGACAGCTTCTTCACAGTAATAATAATAGTCACAGTGCAGCTATTCCTTGAATAGTTTGCTCACTCCATGTGCTAAATCAGACTGCTCCGACAAGCAAAACTATGCCCGATATGGCAAAATTTCTATTGATTTCAGCTAGGAGCAACAGTTTATCTCCTATCAGATAACAAATGTTTTCTAATCCTGTAAAACTTCTTTGCAAGTGCAGTTAATAAATTCACAAGCTTATAAATCTGCCATTTATTTTGGCACCCTTCTTAGCTTATATTGCCAAAGAAAAATGGATCGGGGAATCTAAAAGTAGTGCTTTCATTCCTATCTTTGGAAACACCGAAATTGATGTTTAGTCTCAAGCGTGCTCTTTTTAGGTAAAATAAGCTCTTTTATGAGAAATTTGTGTAACATGATTTTGCAGAAGTAATATTGATTGTTACTTACCACGAGACAAACTGTAAGGTGACAGTACCACAAAACAGCAAGGTCCTTTACTATTTTTATTTCTTTTAGGCACCTTCCAGAAAGCTACCAGCAGGTTTTCTAAAACACTAGTTTTCAGATTAGTGGCTCGTGAATAAAAATGCTTGAGGTCTGCAGAGAACTGGTTGCTTACACAGTGCAGACTCTACCTCCAGCTTTCTGAAAGCTATGCAGGCGTTCCATTACAAAGAAGGACCTGAGGTATGTATGAAAGCAGCTGGAAACAGATAAGGAGCCATCCAAGCTGGCAGGGTCCACTATTATAACAGAAAGAGCGCTGTGTGTGCATGTATATGTGCTGCATGTAGAACAAATTGCGTTGCTACCAGCAACACAATTAGAAATGACCGAGGTTACTGAGCTGAGCATGTTTGGGCCATTTCACAGTTTTCATTTGTAAAAATTCATGTGGCCCATGTAAATGCAAATGCAGGGAAGGTCAGTCTGCCGTGTATTAAAGATGTGATCAACCACATGCAAGTCTGAGAATTCCTATTGTAGACAATTTTCTGTTTATTTTTAAGGGTTTCTGATGCATCTCAGAGAAGAGCCCCTGCTGCTGAATCTTTCAAGGAATTAAAGCATATGCCTCCCCTTCCACAGTCTGCCACTTCTTCTACCTGCTGCAGAGGACATGGGAGCAAGTCTTCTACCTGGCCTCCCGCATCCCCTGTAGGAAGGGCAGTGCTCGCTGCAGGCTGAGTGGAAACCACCTGCACCACTCACTATGATCCCTGTCCCCTTCCTGTTCTCCTGCATGAACTTGGCCTCTTCAGAAATGGATGAAGCAAAATAACTGGATACAACCTTGCTGTATCTTTATGGTCTCTACATTGTTATTATTTTTCTCATACATGATCCCATACTGCCCCTCTCCAATGCACAGGTTTATATATACAAATATATAATATACACATACTGGAAAACACGTACAACATAGTCCACAGCTAGCTAGAGGCTCCCTGTGCTTACTTGGACATGACATTACAGCAGAGATCATTTTCAACAGGCTCATTTTAAAACACACATATGTGCCACCAAGCTACCGAATTTGCACACTCACACCATTATTAACACTAAGTGTGGAATAGGAAGAACTAAAAATCACTCCGTGCTGGCTGTTACTGCTTTTTTTTATGGTGAACACTGAGCACAAGCAGAGGGCTGTGGCTGTTCTATCTCCTTCAATTATCAAACCATTACAGGCTCTGAATATCTTACTGGCTGCAAACTACAAATAGCATGACCCCCATCTGCTACAGTCAGAATCCTATTTCTTGGATCTCAGGCATGAAATTATAGATAACATGACATGACTGAGACTGCAGACAGATGTTGGCTTTTGGATCTTGCTGCGATCGTGGCAGATGTTACTGTCTTCATCCAGATGCTCGGTGCTGTTCTTACGCCCAAGGGTACTCCTGCATGCTGAGGGTATGGGCTCACAGCTGTCCTGGGGCGTGCCTGCCACTGCCTTGCCAGCCAGTACAAAATAAGATGCCAAAGACTGCCCCAGCTAACTCAATGGGATAGAAAAAAGGCTGAACCACACCAGTAGATCAGTGAACTGCTAGGCCTGTACCACTGTGGCAATATGCTTAGCTGTCTCCACCTGCAAAGGTAGCCCTTGTGTATCCATCCCATGCAGATTTTCCCTCTAAAAGATCTCTGAAAGTATAATCCACACCCAGACATTTTGTTTGATCCTTGAAGTTACTGAAGCGCATGTGGGGTCAATGCAGTCATTGGTCCCAGACAACATGGGTTCATGAGGGGTAGGTTCTGCCTAACAAATTTGATTTCCTTTTATGATAAGATCAACCATCTAGTTGATCGAGGGAAACTTTTTGGACTTCAGCAAGTCTTTTGACACTGTTTTGACACTGTTTCCCATAGGATTCTACTGGACAAAATGTCCAGCGTACAGCTAAACAAAAACATCACACGATGGGTGAGCAATTGGCTGACGGTAAGGGTTCAAAGGGTTGTGGTAAATGGGGCCACACCTGGCTGGCAGATGGTCACTAGTGGGGTACCTCAGGGCTCCATTTTAGGGCCAGTCCTCTTTAATGTTCTTATAAATGATTTGGATGTAGGACTAGAAGGTGTTCTGAGCAAATTTGCTGATGATACCAAACTTGGAGGAGTTGTGGACTTGGCTGAGGGTGGAAAGGCCTTGCAGAGAGACCTAGAATGATTGGAGAGCTGGGCGATCACCAACCATATGACGTTTAACAAAAAAGTGCCAGGTCCTGTGCCTGGGATGGGGCAACCCTGGCTATACATACACTATGGGCGATGAGATGCTGGAGAGCAGCCCTGCAGAGAGGGATCTGGGGGCTGCGGTTGACAGCAAGCTGAACATGAGCCAGCAGTGTGCCCTGGCAGCCAGGAGGGCCAACCGTGTCCTGGGGTGCATCAAGCACGACATCGCTAGGTGGTCGAGGGAGGTGATTGTCCCGCTCTGCTCTGCGCTGGTTCAGCCTCACCTCAAGTACTGTGTGCAGTTCTGGGCACCACAGTATAAAAAGGACATGAAACTGTTGGAGAGTGTCCAGAGGAGGGCGACGAAGGTAGTGAAGGGCCTAGAGAGGAAGACGTATGAGGAACGGCTGAGGGCACTGGGCCTGTTCAGCCTGGAGAAGAGGAGGCTGAGGGGGGACCTCATCGCAGTCTACACCTTCCTCCCAAGGGGGAGTGGAGGGGCAGGCACTGACCTGTTCTCCATAATCACCAGTGATAGGACCCGTGGGAATGGTGTTAAGCTGAGGCAGGGGAGGTTTAGGCTGGACATCAGGAAGAGGTTCTTCACCGAGAGGGTGGTTGCACACTGGAACAGGCTCCCCAGGGACGTAGTCACTGCACCAAGCCTGTCTGAATTTAAGAAGTGATTGGACTGTGCACTTAGGCACGTGGTCTAAACTTTTGGTTAGACCTGTGCGGTGCCAGGAGTTGGACTTGATAATCCTTATGGGTCCCTTCCAACTCGGGATATTCTATGATTCTATGAAAGTACAATCCACACCCAGACATTTTGTTGTTGTTGTTGAGATGATCACATATTTCAATGAAATGTTGTCTTAATTTCTCCACGCAGGGCTTTCTGAAGATTACCTGTCCTCATCATATTTGGAAATCTGTTCTCCATTAATTGCTCTCTGCTGGGTGAAGCTAGGGATTAGGACCATTTGATGTTTGCTCTCCCCAAGTGCTACATGCTGTCTTTTCTATCAAGTCACCCTTTCAGCATACAAACTTTTCATACAAAGCCTTCATCAGCCTATGACAACTGTATTGTATGAGAAGTTAGAAACAACTTTTCAAGAGGCCATGAGTATGAACATTCTCATGAGTCTCCGCACTTGTATTTGCAATGTTTTTCCTTTCCACCAAGAGGTTAGAAAAACAAACAATTCCAAGCAAAAATAGCTTATTGGATGTTATCAAAGAGAAACAGTGTGGTTTCATTGAAAGAAAATTAATGCAATGCCTGTATGGCTTGTTCGCCCATCTCTGGCTCTTTTCCCATTTTTTCAATTGTTTTCTATTGTTTTTGCAAGTTTAAAAGACAAATTCCTATCCTCGGTCTTTGACATCTTCTTTCCATTTGCGCTGAGAAATTCTCCCAAGGTTTTTACTGCAGAATTTATTAGTGTGTGTACATTGAGTGGAGGAAGGGAAAAATCTGAGGGAAAGTTAGGTTTGCGGAGGTGGGGTGTGATTAGGAGACAGATTTGTTTAAAGGAGGGCAAGATTTCTTCTGTTTAAGGGCACAGACACAAAGAACAGAGTGAGTAAAATAACACTAGCTTTGTAGGCCACAGCATAGACATCCTGCTTTTTTCCCAAGGAGACTTCTGCACTTTCATTTATGAGATGGCAGAGATCAAGCCACTAGCTGCTGCACAAATGTGAAAGCATTTTGTGTAAGTTATATGAAACGTCTGAGGTCAGAGCATTTCTGAAATAACTTTACAGTGTTTTCACTGGAAACAGAGGCTCTTTTCTCAAAGTGTAATTATCTGCTCCAGACTACTATACATTTCCAAAGAGAGTTTATAGCCTGCTTCACATAAGGAAGGCCTTGTAAATCACAAACACATGCAAAATCTGCATTCATAATTAGGCGACAAATACTACTGTTTTTAAAACAGGACCTTCTAAAGCAGACTGAAAGCCCTCCAGGCACCTGCCAGCCAAGAACAAAACTGAAATTGAGGTCAAATCCATAATCCATTCTACAGCCATGTACAAGATTGTTGGCAGGTTTTTTTTTGTTTTTATTTTTTTTGGGGGGGCTGGGAGGGAGTCAACAACCATCAAAATCTCATTTCCATTTTTTCATTTCCAATGAAACTACCATTACATT